CTCATTGGTGTTTCTAACTCTCTATCCCTCTACCTTCCTCTCTGTAAAAAATCAATAAAATATATTTTAAAAAATAAAATAAATAAATACAGTTCCTCATGTTATGACCCAACCATAAAATTATTTTCGTTGCTACTTCATAACCATAATGTTGCTACTGTTATGAATCGTAATGTAAATATCTGATATGCAGGATGGTCTTAGGCGACTCCTGTGAAAGGGTCATTCGACCGCCAAAGGGGTCGCGACCCACAGGTTGAGAACCCCTGCTCTAAAGGAAAGCTCTTCTGCAACTGTAAAATGGCAAAAAATAAAATCAATAGGTACAAAGAATTAATATTGGTTATACCAAGCATTTTAAAGGGTTTGGGAGGTGAACAACAGGGAGGTGGCTTTCCCTACCATCATTTCTTAAGCTCCCAGCTATTATTCATTAATACATATTTACTATCTGAATTAGGGTAAAGCTAAACTTTTTTAACAGACACCAAACATGGCTTAAAGAACACTGACATTTGTTACTCCCTCACAAGGATTGCATAAGATTATTAATCCAAGGTTATTAGTCTGGCTCTGCTCCACGAAGCCATCTAGGGACCCAAGTGTCTTTTATCTTACTGCTCTATCATCCACCATGGTGTTATTCTCAACTACAGGCTTGAAGCTGGGTCAAAGAACCCCATAATCTACTTTGTGGGAAGTAAAAAAGAGCCTGAGGGTTCATAAATCCTATGTGTAAAGGCCCAGGCTCAAAGCTAACATATTTGTGACCCCATTCTATTGTAAGAATATAGTTACCTAACCACACCTAGCTTCAAATGAGGCTAAGAAATGTGCTCTCTGACTAGTCATGAGCCCACCCACAACTGTTTTACCGAACAAGAGGGTCAGGGTGGATTTTGATGGACAATTCACAGTATCCATCACATAGCTTTATAGTCAATGATTTTTGCAATCAACAAATTGTTCTACTCAGGCTTTAAAATGCAAGCTTCCAATCTGTAACTACCACATTCTCTAAGATGTTGAGTAAATATATTCATTGTGTCAGTTAAAAAACAAATAAAATACTTTGACACTCCTAGCAAATGATTGTTCTCTTAGCTTGAGCTTTCTAGAACCCAGCCACTATTCTGTGAGAAGCCAAAGCCTTGTGGAAAGGCTATATGTTGGTGTTCTTGCAACAGTACAGCCCAGCCTTCAGATCATCCCAGCCCAGACACCAGACAGGTGATTGAAGATACCATATATTCTATTACCATACCAAGCTATGGTAATAGATCTTCTAGTCTCAGCTATTCCAGTCCCCATCAATTCAAGTCACAGATGTTGGAATCATCCTATTTGAGGCCAGAAACATCATGGAAAGAGACAAACAACCTTACATGTCCTATCCAAATTCCTAAACCATACAATTTATGGGCATACTCAAGTGGTTTGTTTGTTTTAGGGTGGGGGAGCAATAGATACTCATGGCAATAGATAACTGAACATACATTCCAAGCTGGATATTTAGATAAGCCCACTTCTCAAATCCATTGATAGAATTCTTCTGTAATAGTTCATTTAAATTCTCTAAACTGATTTATTACAAAGTTTACCTTTTATAATTATTCACTTCTTGAGTGAAAAAAAACAACATAGACTTCTGTAATCACAGAATCTAGTATATATGTAAAGCTCATTATGAGTATAAAGTACTTGATGAGAATTTGTTTGATAATTTTGTTATAATACAAGTATATGTAACCATTTTTCATATTCATACATATAGCTTATTAAGGTATGGCTGAAAAGACGTGCAAGTGCTAATTAAAAATAAGTGCTACTTATAAAAACAACTTTAAACTATATCACTTTATAAAGTGAAGGGTTTCCTATTAAAAATACTATTTGGGAAAACTACAGTCATTTGCATATCTATTTTTATATGCTGATAAGTCACATGATCTGTGTATTGCTTTTATAGTTTAACAGTAAGCCTTTCACCAAATGAAATTTTATTTTTAAAGTATCTTAACACTGCACACATACTTACGCAAGCAGTTTGAATGGTGCAAAATGTAAGATCCACATTTCAATTGCTTTACTATGTTGCCTATAACAACTAGAGCTTCCTAAAGTTCTCCTTTATTAGAGCAAAATGTGGATGATTCATATACTATGCTTCAGCTGCCTTCATCATTTGAATGAGATAAGCTCTCAGCAAGAAGTATTCAAGAAACTGTGGTTCAAACTGTGTCATCCTGCTATAAAGCAATCTGCTAAACATTTCCGAAGCAATTTAGACAGCTGTGACTTGGTTGCGAACAATGTGGACATTTAATCTATTGACTTGAAATTGGGGCTACAGAGAAGATATTCAAGAGTTTCCTCATGAGTTCATTTGCCACATAGAAAAACACTTCCTATTTTTTACGTGCCAAGAATGGAAACCTGAGAACTATCTATATTAAAGAATAAAAATGACTGACCTTATAAATTGTTTTTTTATTAAAATATGTAGTATTATATATGTAATGATATTATACCTCCTACTGTAGATCTAAATATTATTTTAAGGGATTTTACTCAAAAGAATATGACATGCTTTTAATTTTGTTCCAGGTTATATTTGCCTTACTATAAATTCATCATAAAATTTTGGTAAATGGCTTGCCTATATTATTAACATCCTCTTTTCACTGTTTTCTATGCTGATAAAATCTGTATTTGGAGTAAATAATTATTCACCTACGAAATGCATTCCTTCCTGACTTGAAACACAATTCAAAAATCTACTGAGACAGTTAATAAAATACTATACTAGTCAACTATACTATAATCTTTATACTGATCAACCATATTAAAATTTGAAATTCACTATAATATATTCATCAGTATGTGAACAAAGACAAAGACATAGAGGTTTATCAAAAAAGAGAATACATGCTCATTTTTTTCCTTTTTTCTGTCAGTTATTTTTATAGGTATCATTTAGGCTGTGACTATAATATGTCAAAATTCACTATGTGGACATTATTCGGGTATAACTGTACAATGTCAAAATAGAGTTATATTTGTTAACATAACCAGTAGGTGAGTTAGATTTTCTCATTTTCAACTTTTTGGTTTAACATTATATGAGTATGGTTAACAGAATAATGAAGCAAATAATTTCTTAGACCCTGCTGATTATTTAACAGATTTTACATTACCTCAAATTTTCACTTTTGAGTTGTCTTTCTAAAACTATTAACCTTCTAATGCATTTTCCTCCTCCCACTGTTTTGTGATATAGACTAACAATTCTAGTAATAGCTGTGAAAGGGTGAGGGCTACGCCCTCCATCTTGCCCCAGGGTAAGGGCTACGCCCTCCGTCTTACCTTGGCCATGTGCTCGGCAAGGCTTCTTCCCCTAAGCCCAAGCCTCTGCTAGCCACACCCAGGACTTCTTTAAACTAACCAATGACAATCAAGGGAAGTCGCCATAGATATGACCACATCCTGTGTAACAAGACACCGACTTGCGCCTGGCCAATCGGCAGGGCCCACAGTCCTTTCTCCTCCCCTTACTCCAACCCCCCTATAAAACCCCTCTCCACACAGAGTTCTCTCTCTGCTTCCTGCCGCTGCATCGGCAAGGTTGGGGAGCCGAGCTAGCTCGAATAAAGACTCTTATGCTTTTGCATCGGACCTGGCTGGCTCCCTGGTGTGGTTTCTTGGGGATCCTGAAATCTGGGCATAACAGCTGCTCTGAATGAATCATTTTTTATCAGCACCTATTTTACTTGCCCTAAGTACCAAGTAAAATGATCTCAATTGGGCCTTGCCCGATCACTTGAACACTGAAAGAATTGACATTCCTTAGCTACAATGATACAGTCAACTCATTTATTTTTCTTTGAAAGGAAAATGAAGCCAGAAGCTATAAAGACTTTTATAAAAAACAAAGCTAACTCCAAGTGTTAAATATTTGGTTTGTTATTTGTAGGCAGTTCATACAAGACATCCTTTGCCTAAGGCAGTGTTAATGGATGAAAGATAGGACATTCCTGGGAAAGATTTGAAGTGTGATAGTCAGGATTTTCTGCATATTCATCCACTCTACACTTGGTGTGATATTTATGTGGTATCTGATGGAGAATACCATATAGACAAATGGTAGTTATATCTATAAAGGGCAAAATATGTTTTTCAGTATACCATCATTTTTTCCCTGATATAGGCTCCCTGCCCTTCCTTACCTCCTCCTATACCGCATATAGTTAGAAATTACTTGAAATGGATTGGTAAAGTAAGACATGTAGAATAAGGGTGATATCACACAGCTATCGCATCAATTCATTTTAGGGTTTGAAAAAAATACATATATATATATACTTTTTTCCTTTATTGATTGATTTTAGAGAAAAAGAAAGGAAGGGAGGGAGAGAGGGAGAGGGAGAGAGAGAGAGAGAGAGAGAGAGAGAAACATTGATTTATTGTCCACTTACACATTCATTGGTTGAGTCTTGTATGTGCCCTGACTGGAGCTTGAACCCACAACCTTGGTGTATCAGGACAATGCTTCAACCAACTGAGCTACTTGGCCAGTATATATATGTACATATGTGTGTATGTGTGTGTTTATGTATACATATATATACACTTTTAAAAAATTCTGGCCCTGGCCGGTTTGGCTTAGGGTATAGAGAGTCAGCCTGCGGACTCAAGGGTTGTGGGTTCGATTCTGGTCAAGGGCATGTACCTTGGTTGCAGGCTCCTCCCCAGCCCTGGCCCTGGTCAGGGCTCGTGCATGAGGCAGCCAATCGATGTGTTTCTTTCACATTAATGGTTCTCTCTGTCTTTCCTTCTCTCTTCCACTCTCTGAAAATCAATGGAGAAATGTCCTCAGGTGAGAATGAAAAAAAAAAAAATTCTGTAATTCTAAGGTGAATTGTACTTAACCAATCCCAAGAGAACAATCTTAATTTTAAAATTTTCAAAAGGAAAATCCATATTTTGAAGATTAAAAATGGTGAAAGAGTAGGAGGATGCTGCACGGACATGCTCCCAGGAACAACCTGGAATTACAACTGAAATGCAGAAAGGCTTCCTGAATAATCAATGGAAAACTCACAGGAGAGAACCCTGATACCCAAGGATGGAAGGTGGAGACCACATAGAGACTGGTAGGAGGGGTGGAGGTGTGAAAGGACTGGCCAGACACCCACAAATGGCAACTGAAGTCCTGGAGAGATATCTCAGCTATGTGTGGTGGGAGGTGAGGGGTGGGGGGTGCCACTGAGAACTCTGGGGTCTAATCCTGAAGCTAGGCTCCCCAGCAGAGAGCACCAAACTGAGGAGGTTACCCACATAACATCTAGCTGTGAAAAGCAGTGGGGTGCTGTCTCCAAGGGGTGGCAGCTGAAAGTTTGGGCACCATCTTAAAGGGCCAACACATGAAAATTCCCTGTGGAGCCACCCACCTTGTGCTCTGGCAGAGGGAGGGTGAAGTGGACTGGAGCTGTGAGAGCAAAACCCAGGACTGGGGACTTGGAAGATAGAACTCAGAAGGCAGACACCCCAAGTTTCCTGGGCTGAGTCA